AAAAAAATTATTAAATTAAAAATTTTACCCCGCGAAACCATTTAAATTTAAAAAAAAAAAAAAATTCTTATGTAACTTACGTCTCATAATTTAATAATAATAATAATAATATTAATAATAATAATAACTTTGCTTTCGTATTTTTTTTATAAAATTTGGCCTGATTTAAATAAATCATTTGTTGTTGTAAAAAAAAAAAAAAAAAAAATGAATTTTCCATTTTCTAACGGAAAATTATTTAAACCAAAAAAAAAAAATCCACAATTTAAATTTTTTTTAAAACGGTTTTGTAATTATTATTATTATCATTATTATTATTTTATAACGAAATAAAAATAAATAATAATAATAATAATAAACGAGAAATGTTTAAACAGTTAATAGAAGTAATAAAAAATCCGGACAAGGGGCACGTGGCATTCGCATCAGAGTAAACAAATCAAAAACGAATAAAAAAAAAAAAAAAAAAAAAAAACCGCGTGTAATTTTTATTATTAATAATAATAATAATAATAATAATAATAATAATAATAATAATAATAATAATAATAATATTTACGCGAGATGGACGTGTCATTAATAATACAAATAAATTTATTCCCTCGTACATACGCGTAAATAATTATTAATTAATAATTAATAATAATAATAATTTTCCGCCGGTTTAAAATTTCAAAAAAAACGCGGGTTTTATACGAAAGAGAGATAAAGAGAGATAGAGAGATAGAAAATAAATAAATAAATAAATAAATAAATAAATAAACGTGCGTGAGAGGAATGAATACATATATATATGTGTGTGTATGTTGCGGTAAAGAGACGCGTCGTCCCGCGCGCGTAATTCATACAGGGGAAGTGTTCATTCAGCGTTAAAATAAATCATAAAAATAGAACGGTGATACGAAATGAAGATTTAGCACCGAAATAAGAGAAATGGTAAAGCCCGCCCCTTCGTCCCCACTCGGAACCAAGTCGGTATAAATGCCGGCAAGGACAGCGCGGGTTTTAGTATACCTAGTAAGCCTGCCGTGGTACACTACGTCAACCACCCATTCATTTAGGGTTAAAGAAAATTTCCGACGCTTGTGCGTCGTATTTCCCATATCGGGGGGATTCGTGTGATCTTTTTTTTTTTTTTTTTTTTTTTTTTATTTTATTTTATTTTATTTTATTTTAATAATTTAAAAAAAAATAAATAAATAAATAATCGGTTATTATTGTTATTGTTTTTGTTGTTCGTTTTTTTTTTTTTGGTGCGTGTTTTTTTTTTTTTTTTATTAATAATAATTTTTTTTGGTGCGGTTTTTAATAACTAAAAAAAAAACATTTTTTTTTAATGTTTATTATTATTATTAATAATAATAATAATAATTTTTTAAATAATTCGTTTAGAAACGTATAAAAAAAAAAATAGAAAAAAATGTTCGTTTGGAGTATACGTTGGCTTTACGAAGCCTCAATGAATTTTGACAAACCAGAAAATTCAAAATTTTTTTCCACGTTAGTTGTGTTCCTTGTTGTTCTAGTCATTGTTCGACTCATACAAATATTTCGGGAATTGAAATCATTGCCACCGGGACCGTGGGGTCTTCCGATATTCGGGTACTTGCCTTTTTTAAAAACCGAAGCACACATACATTTCGGTGAACTTGCTAAAAAATACGGTTCGTTGTTCAGCACACGTTTGGGAAATCAGTTAATCGTTGTCGTGAGTGATCATAAAGCGATTAGAGAAGCTTTCAGAAGAGAAGAATTCACCGGAAGACCACATACGGAATTCAGCAACATACTAGGAGGCTACGGTAAGTTTTTTATTATTTTTTTTCCTCCCCGCCTCCCCCTTCCCCCCTTTTTTTTCGATTTTTTGAACTCTAAAATAAATAATACAAAGTTGAACGATTTTTTTTTTTTTTTTTTGTTAATCGTTATAAAATCTGGCACGTTTAAAGCCCAAATATCTTATCGATAGGCTTATATAAAAATGATCTTTGACACTTGAGAGGAGAATGAGGAGTGAGAAAGGGAGAGAGAGAGATAGATAGAGAAAAAGATAAAAAAAAAAAAGAGAAAGGAAAAAAAAAAAAAGTCGCCTGATCTTTGCAATTATGTCATTGCGAGTGAATTGTGTGAGTGTTGGGTCCACCAAAAAAAAAAAAAATTTAAAAATTGTAAAACGGAAACGCTTGAGGCCATATTCGTGGTTCAAACCATTAACATATCAGAATAGTTTTTTTTTTAAATTCGACTAATTAATATTTATTACTTTCCTTTTTGCTTATGTTGTCCCAATTAGAGAATTGAGATTGAGGTAGGTCCAGGAGGATCATTGGAAAACTAGTTCGTCGCACTTGATTTCTCTCGTCCCTTTTTTTTTTTTATTCCTTTTCACGTGCGACCAAAAAAAAAAAAAAAAAGAAATTTATTTTATTCATAAAATAATGGCGGTTTTTTTTTTCTTCTTCTGTCATAATAAAAAAAAAACGAGTTCTGTCGTTCTATTTTTATTTAAAACGATTGATTAATTATTAGGAGAAAAAAAAAATTGATAAATAAATCGATCGATCGATTGACGTTCGTTCGATTTGATATAATCGATTTCTATTTGATTTTCCTACTATTTAATTTAAAATTAGTTTTTTTTTTTTTTTTAATTATCATTTTGCTTATTAAATTTTTTGACAGTGCAGCTTTAGTTTCAGCAGTGTCATATCCGGTAAAAAAAATTGAAGAGTAGAGTTTTTGATTGATCAAATGATTTGATTACTAATTGTCATTCGATCTTTACCAAGTTCATTAACTTACAACGAGTAATTCATAAATTTTTTTTTTTTTTTTGTAATAAAATGAATTGTGCAGACGTTGGTGATAAGTTGTTAAAATGATGATAATTAAACACCGGCGTCTGTGAATGTTGTTGCCTTATTTTCCTTTTTTGTCTAGTCGAAATAAAAAAAAAAAAAATTGAAAATATTTGTATTCTTAATATTAATTTAGGTTTTTTTTTTTTTTTTTTCTATTATTAATTTATAGGAATCATAAACAGCGAAGGAAAATTATGGAAAGATCAAAGAAGGTTTTTGCACGAAAGGTTAAGACATTTCGGCATGACCTATTTTGGTTCGGGAAAAGAAAACATGGAAAAAAGAATCAAGGTAGATATATTAGAAATTATAAATTTTTACTCATTTTTATATTTTTTTTTATTATCAATTTATATTATTATTATTTTCGTTATCTCGCGTTTTCTTTTAAAACGCGGAAGTGGTAGCAAATAATTTTTTTTTTTTTTTTTTTGACGACCTTGTCAATCATTTCAGTTACAAAAAAAAAAAATAAATAAATAAATATGTGAATGTGCGTGTGTGTGTGTGTGTGTGAGTGAGTGTGTGTATCTATTTTTAGTATACGTTATACGAAAAGAATCGTGATAATCGAATACGGGAGAAGTCACGGATAAGTTAAATGTATTTTTATTATTTGCAGGTAGAATTAGAGTCGTGTTTACGAACCATATCGAAACAAGAAGGAGCCGAAGTGGATTTAAATCCCTTGTTAGCGATGCCCATAAGCAATATCGTCTGCTCAATATTAATGAACGTTAAGTTCAAGCCGAACGACGACAGGTTCAAGCGGTTCATGGATCTGATCGATGAAGGTTTTCGACTTTTCGGTATCTTGACTTATGTTAATTTTATACCTGCAATGCGATATCTTCCCGGATTACAAGCGACGAGAAAATTATTGCACAGAAATAGAATTGAAATGGCGGCTTTTTTCCAAGAAACAATTGACGAACATAAAAAGACATTCGATCCGAGCGTTATGAGAGATGTTGTCGATGCTTATCTTATGGAAATAGAAAATGCCGGAGAAAAAGGGAAAACTCTTTTCGAGGGAAAAGATCACGATAGACAAGTTCAACAAATTATTGGTGATCTTTTTACCGCCGGTATGGAAACCGTAAAAACGACCCTTCAGTGGGCGGTCGTATACATGCTTCACCATCCCGAAGTCGCCAAGGCTGTGCAAGAGGAGTTGGATCAAGTCGTGGGAAGGAATAGGTTGCCAAATTTAGAAGATATGCCATTCTTACCGTACACGGAATCGACACTTTTAGAAATATTAAGGAGATCTAGCATAGTGCCATTAGGAACAACACACGCCACAACAAGGTATCTATTAATGCATTCACTCTAAAAACAGACAAAAAACTAATTACGAGAGACGCAAACCTTCTCTAACGAACAAACAACAACAAACAACTAAAATTAAATTTATTTAATTTTAATTATTTCAGAGACATTAATTTTAATGGGTACAAAATTCCAAAACACGCACACATAGTTCCACTTTTACACGCCGTACACATGGATCCAAATCTATGGGATCAACCAGAAGACTTCAGACCCTCAAGGTTCCTCAATAGCGAAGGCAAAGTAACCAAGCCTGAATATTTTCTTCCTTTCGGCGTGGGAAGGAGAATGTGCCTGGGAGACGTTCTCGCGAGGATGGAGCTTTTCCTATTCTTTTCAAGTTTGCTACACGTTTTTCACATAAAACTTCCAGAGGGTCAATCATTACCCAGTTTAAAAGGAAACACGGGAGTCACAATAACTCCGGATTCCTTCAAGGTTAGTCGGTCTCTTTATTTATCATTATTATTATTATTATTATTATTGAAATTTTATTTATCTGACGCTATATATAAAAGAGTGTGAGCCTGACTGATTTTTTCCCGATTTACCCCGTTGGATAATAGTCGTACACATATATATATATATATATATATTTCCAATATCGTGAATGAAATTTTTTTTTTGTTTTATATGTGATTAACAATAATAATAATAATAATAATAATAATTGCAATAGTAGCATAAAATTTGATTTATCTCACAAACGCGATAACTAACAATTTTTCACTTATCAATTTGATTCAGTATTATTATTATTATTATTATTATTATTATTTTCGAAATGATTGAGTCGTCGTTGTAGTCGTGTGTAGGCTGTTTTCCGCTTGTGTGATGGTATTTTATATTTAAAAAAAAAACAAAAGTTACAACATCATTTGTGAATCGGTTTCAAAATTTATTGATATATTAATCGTTTTTAATGTTTTTTTTTTTTTATTTAAATATGGTTCTTTTAAATAAATCAGGTGCGTGTGTGAATATTAATTTTATGTAAAAAAAAAATTTTGTTTCTCACTGCAGTCGACATTTCTCTCTTTTTATAAACTATGAAACCACAATTTTGTGTCATATTGTTTTCTTTAAACTTCCACCCTAAGCGACCCCTAAGCGACCACAAAATCAATGGCTCTTCAAATTGTTTTTTTTTTCAATTTACTCATTATTATTATTGTCGTTGTTTTTTTTTTTTTCTTCTTCTTGTACAAAAATTTTAAAAGATTGTCATTTTTTTTTTTTTTTTTTTTTTGAAGAACATCTGACAACGGTGTCAACGCCCTCACCCTCACGTATTTTTTTACCCCCTCCCCTTTTGCATTATTAGTATTCCTTTTAAATAAAAAAAACGAGAGAGGTAGATGGATAGATGGATAGATAGATAGGTAGAGGGAGAGAAAGAGAAAGAGAAAGAGGGAGAGAGAGAAAGAAAAGTTGTAAAAAAAAAATAACTTTTTTTTTTGTTTGTTCGTTTGTTAAGCGAGCCTTAAAACGTTTTAACTTGAGTACAGGTTTTTGGACGCGAATTAATATTGTGTGAACCCCTAAAAAAGTGAAATTATTTGAGGTTATTGACCACAGCCACGGAGTCTTTCAATTATCATTGATGAATACCTTCTAGCTAGACAACCTTAATCTTCACAAACAAACAGTAGTCTTTTAGTTTAAGGTCTACGGTTAATGACCACTAAGTATGTAGGCCATTGTTGTATCCCAGATTTCATTTTTGTAATGAATTTAGAAAAAGTTAATCAATTTTTTTTTTTCCTTTTATTATTATTATTATTATTATTATTATTATTATTATTATTATTATTATTATTATTATTATTATTATTATTATTATTGTTTTTCTGTTAGGTTTTTTTTTTTTTTTTTTTTTTTAATATCGTTGCGATATTGTCGCGTGCGAGTGTGTGTGTGTGTGTGTGTGTCGTTGGATGAGTAGTCGTAACATGTAAATAACTTGTATTAATAAACGATTAGAAGGCGGTGAGAAATCGGCGATCAGAAATCATAGAGTAAATAAATGAAAAACAATAACGCCGGGAATTATGTGATAAGTTACAGTTATAAAAACACGATGAAAAAATAAAGAATTTATTATTTAAAAAAAAAAAAGATCGTATCGCAAACGCTTGGTAAAATATATTACCTTGTTTCTCACCTTTTCGTTCCCTCGATTTAACACAGAGAGAGAGAGAGAGAGAGAGAGAAAAAGAGAGAGAGAGAAACAGAGAGAGAAAGAGAGAGAGAGAGGGAAAAGAAAAACAATTTAAAATTAAAAAAAGAAAAAAACAGGAAAGAAAAAAAAATTCATATATGTCATATATTTTCTATCTCTTTCTATCTTTTTCTCTCTCTCTCTCTCTCTTTTTTTTTTTTTTTTAAAAACCTCAAACATTATTTCAAAAAAAAAGAGAGAGAAAAAAAAAAGAAAAAAAGACGAAGAAGAAGAAAAAAAAAAAATTTTTTTTTTTTTAAGGGTTTTTGTGTATATAATGAGAGAATTCACCTTTTCTGCACGGGCCAACGACCTCAAATTCAAAGAGGAACCGATGGATAGAATATTGTGCGTGTGCGTGTGCGTGTGCATGTGCGTGTGCGAGTGCGAGTGTTGTGTGTGTGTGTGTATAAAAATTATTTAAATCAAATAACCGAAGCAAAGCAGAAGATAAAAAAAAAAAAAAAAAAAACCGAATGCGAGTGAGTGAGTGACTGTGCGTGCGTGGGTGGATGGATGAATGTTAGGATAAACGCGAGTTTCGCATAATTGAAAAAGTTTCCTATTATTATTATTATTAAAACGTTTCCCTTCGCGGTGATGGTGGGGGTGGGGTGGGGGTTGCGTTCACACGCACTCACACGCACCGAAAAAAAATACAAAACAAAACGCATAAAAAAATTTTTTTTTTTTTCTTCTTATTGTTTCAGGTGTCGTTTGTACAAAGAGTGACAGGGCCGGATTTAGAATTTTTAAATAGTAATAGTGATAATTTAAGAAATTTGGGAAGTCATTAGAAACTTATTCCCGTAAAACGTTTTTTTTTTTTTTTTTTATTTTTATTTTTTAAAAACTAAAAAAAAACTAAAAAAAAAAACTAAAAAATCCAAAAACTAAAAAAAACTAAAAAAAAAGAGACATTAATTTAATTTTTTTTTTTTTGTGTTATATATAAAAAAAAAAAATACTCGTCTTGCCAGTTCCTTTTTTTAATTTATATGTTGTACATTTTTTTTTTTTTTTTTTGTTAAAATATCTGTGACAATTTTTTTTTTTTTTTTTGTTATGTTGTCGTCCTGAGAATTTTTTTTTGTTTTTGGAACGAAACCCACGACACGCTCGTTCGTTTGTTTTGTTTTATTTTCTGCAATTCTTTCCTTTTAATTCTACGTTGTTATTATTATTATTATCATTGTAATATTTTGATAATTGACGTACTTACCTTATTTACCATTATCATTTTTTCCCACCCTCTTAATCTCTCCCCCCTTTTTCCCCCTCCCTCAATATTTATCCTGAGAAAAAGTTTCCTGAAGAGAGAAAAATTATCGGTTGTGTATTAATCTCATTGATTGTTCCAACAAACAAACAAACAAACAAACAAAGGAAAAAAAATTCTTTGAAGTCGTTAAAACTTGTTTTAAAAAAAAGCTGTTGTAAAATTTGTAGTTATCATAATCATAATCATCATCATCATTATTTTTTTTTTTTCGCGTTCATTTTTTTATGTAAAATTTAAAATAATAATAATAATAATAATAATAATAATGAAATACCTTAGGCCTGTTGAACAATCGCGATAATAACAGATCTCGGGTGTTTGAAACCAAAAACAAACAAACAAAAAAATTGTAAGGAGCCGCTTAAAAATGCCCGAAAAAAAAAAATTTATTTTTTTTTTGTTAGGTTGGTAAAAATGACGTTTTTTACGATAGCGGCCCCTCCCCCTCCTCCCCCCAACAAAAATGAATTTTTCTTCACGCGTTTTTTAATCAAGTATTAATAATTTTTAATTTTTAACAGTATTTATAGATTTGAAGGAAAAGGAGAAAAAAAAAAGCGCGCCAATTTTTTAATTTTTTCCCGCCATTTTTTTTTTTTTTTAAGTATTTTAATCTCGTTTTTTTTTTTTTTTTAAATACTTATTCTTATTATTTCGTCGTTTTTTTTTTTTTTTTTTTTTTTTTGTAATTTTTTAAATACTATTGACGACACATTTACGACGTGCGTTCAGAAAATGTTCAGAACGATTTAATAATAAGGATCTCCATTAATAAGATTTTATTAACCTTTAATTAATTAATTTTGTTTTTCCCCAAGTAGTTTTTTTAACTATTATCATTATTATTATTATTATTATTATCGTTGTTGTTTTTTTTTTTTTTTGTATCGATCGAAAGTTTTGTAGAACGTTGCTAGCTGCGAATTTAGTATAAAACGTAAAAAAAAAAAAACCAGTAAAAATTATTATTATTATTATTTATTTTTTATTTACTAGTAGTTGTTAGATTAGTTTTATTATTATTATTATTATTATTATTATTATTATTATTATTATTATTATTATTATTATTATTATTATTATTAATGTATGTATAATATTATTGATTTTTTTTTTATTTTGTTTTAAATTGCCTTTCAACACGTTAATTTTTTATTATTATTATTATTATTTTTGTGTATATATATGTATAAATTTTGTATTTGTACACGTGAGTGTGCGTGCGTGTGTACGCACGTGCTCGTACGTGCATTTTATAAATAATTAAGAGTTGAAAGTTTTTTTTTTTTTTTTTTACACATGTATATAAAAAAAAAAAATTATTCAACTTAAATTATTATTTTTTTTGAAGCCAAAGACACACTACGGGTTAGGTTTTCTTCTTATTTTTTTTTTTTTTTTTGTGTTTTTTTTCTATAACAACCACCCGAAATGTGGACGTATTAGGTTAATAGCCGGTGTTGTAACGCATTGTTTCATTTTTTTTAAAAATAAATAAATAATAAATAGAAAAAAATAGTTTTAAAAATAAAAAAATAAAAATTTTCGTTAAAAAAAAAAAAAAAAATTTTGTTTTATTTGTTTTCAAAAACCTTTTCCATTCAATTATTAATGATAATCTCTATGAATTTGTGATTGTTTACATTTGATGTCGTTAAAACCACGACAGAATTTTTGTTTTGTTTTGATTTTTCCACCGCCTACTCGAACAAACGTTTTTCGTTTTGTTTTCTCTCTGACGTTATAGGGTGACAGAATCAGGTGATTAAATTGTTTTGTCGTTTAATTATGTGAAAACGTTTGGTGGTAGTGGTGGTGAAATTCCAACATATTTTGATTCATTTTAAAGTTTGTGATGATGACTACATTATTATTTGTAATTTAATCGACCGGTTATTGCATTCTGACCGGTAATTTACGGTTAAATTTTTTTTTTTTTTTTTTTTTGAATATAAACTAAGAAATTCATTCTCGGTGAGTACGTGCATTAATTTGAAAATTTACTTTTTTTTTTTTTTTAAATAACCGTTCCGGTAAATCAGCTGTTTTTTTTTATTACCTTTTTTTTTTAATACCTTTTTCCAGCGACACGAAGGTAACACTTACCTGTTTTTTTAAAAATATATTTTATTTTATTTTATTGTCGGTGTGTGTTTAACATTGATGCACATTAAGGGAATTAGTTGATATTTTATAGTCGTCAACTATTTTTTTACCTCTCATGTTTACCAACAACCACTATTCGGTATCGAATTTTTTTTATTATCATCATCATCATCATTATTCTGTTTCGGTTATTAACAACTGATTTGCCCAATTTTTTTGTGACCTTATTTCCTTTTTAATATTACTACCGTCGAATCACGGTTTATACTCTAATGGGCTTTACTGATTAATATACCTTAACCCGTCATCGAGCTATTTTTTTTTTCTAAATGCAATTATAACAGTTTTTCGTTCCAAATTACATTCGAGTTTCATTTTTTTTTTTTTTTTCTATCTATCCATCCTCCTCCATTTCGTGCGTGCCCCACAATAAAAAAAAAAAAGCTTAATTATCCCTACAGACTCTTTTCGAGCCTTCAAAAAAAAAAAAATTACATTTTTTATGTATGTATTTTGACTTCCCGTTAAGTCAATACAGTAGACATTTTTTTTTTCTCTTCGAATACGTATTAAAAATGTTACGCACGCATACACGCACGCATGCACGCATTTTTTCGTTACTTTTTATCAACAACCTTAAAATACAAACATAAATTTTAATGTAAGAATTTGAGTTCCTGATAGTAAAAGAGTTTTAATTAGGGGATAACCTTATAAAATAAAAACCTGATCGATAAATTTATTATTTTTTTTTAACTTTAATTTTTTAAAAATATATATATGTATCCGTCGGGATCGGTAATAAAACAAAAAAAAAATTTATTTATCGTATTTTTTTTTTAAATTTAAGTTTGATTTATTTATTATTAACGTACGCATAATAAAAATAAAAATAAAAATTATAATATCATCATTATCATCATATGGTGTTGAAGTTAATTTAAATTATTTTTAATAAATAACTAAAAAAAAAAAAAAAGGAAAATTATTTAATATGAACGACAGAAAAAAAAAAAAAAAACAGGAAAAAGCTTTTATTTTTCATATAAGAAAATTTTTTTTTAAAAAATTATATGTATATAAATATAATGCAACGCGATTAAAAGATTATTAATTGAATTAAAAATCAAAATAATAACAAAACAAAACAAAAAAGTCTTCTGCTATCAGTGTTGCCACTATTAAAGCCATCTATCGACAGCGTCGTCAATTAAAAACAATAACAATAACAATTATTTATATATAATATATATATAATGATATGGGAAATTTAATATATTCACGATCGAGTTTTTTTTTTTTTAAATTAAAATTTAAAAAAAAAAAAAGAAAATGTCCGTTCACCTTGGAAAATTATTATTATTATTATTATCATTAATAATTTTTTTATTTGCAAAATATCGAATTAAATTGACTTGACGAAAATTCAAATAATAATAATGATAATGATAATTTTTTTTTTTATTCAAATCAACGTTGAGTGCTTACGTGCTTGCTTACGTGTATGCGTACGTGAGTGCGTGAGTGCGTGAGTGAATGAGTGCGTGTAGGATTTATCCCCACCAGAAAAAAAACTCAAGGGTAACTTTCTCATAAACTTGCAAAAAAACAAATTTGAAAAAAATTGAGAAAAAAATTCTAAAAAAAAGACGGCGAAAGAAAGAAACATTCAAAGGTAATCAATTTACACAAAAAAAAAAAAAAAATTTGATAATAAATTAATATAAAACCGGATGTTGATGAAGGTTACGTGTAAAAAAAAAAACTAATATTAATAATAATAATAATAAAATCGAAAAAAATCTCTAAAAAAAAAAAAACAATTAATTATTATTAACATTTTTTTGTAATTAATTAATTTTTTTTTTTTGTAATAGAAAAATCTTCTTCATTAATTTTTTTTTATTTATTATGTTTTTCGGTTATAAACGGAAATGAAATTACGCAATAGATATAAAAATTATTATTATTATTATTATCATCATCATCATCATCGAACCTGGTATTATTATACATCCGGGGCAAAAAAAAAAAAATTAATAAATCCCCATTGTTTTTTTTTTTTAATAAATATTTAATAATTTAAATTCGCATATTTGCCCGAATTATTATTTTTTTTTTTTTTCGTACAATTTTACCCAATTTCGCAAAAAAAAAAAAAAAAAAAAAACTGTGTTACCCGTTTAATAATAAACTTTTCTATTAAATAATAATAATAATAACGATGATGATGATAATAATAATTTGTAAATTACGCAATCGATATAAATAATTTTTTTTTCTCACGCGCGTTTTTCTTTTTGTTTTTGTTATTTTTACCGTTTCGATATCGTTTTTTACATCCCTTTCGTTTCGCATCCCCCCACGCCCTCTCCCTGCGCCCCCTCACGCCCTCCCCTTTTTTCCTAACCGTTTTAATATTTAATGACGCCGCGTTTTTTTTTTTTTTTTAAATAAAACTTAAATCAATTATTATTATTATTTGTGTTATTATATAAGAGCGTACGTGATTAAAACTATCATGGAATGGCGTCGGCGAATGGAGAGTAAAACGTAGTAATGATAATAATAATAATAATAATAATAATAATAATAATAATAATAATAATAATAATAATAATAATAATAATAATAATTAATGATGATTCATTGTAATTTATAATTTGAACAAAAACACACACAAACGTTTATATATATAAATAAATTTTTGTATATCGTTAGAAAAACACGTTTTTTTTTTTTTTTTTTCTTCAAAACAAAGGAATTAAAAAAACGCGAAAGAAAGTTTTTTTTTTTAACGTGGAATTAGCCGACGATGACGATGATGATGATGATGACGACGGCGGTGATGACGGTGACGGTGACGACGATTGTAGTAAAAAAAAGTTATCAGTCGCGACAAATGTGAAAAAAAAAAATTTAACATTTCCAGACCAATTTAGAAGAATTAGTTTGGGCATGTCGTGGCATGACGATGATGATGGCACACACACGCACACGCACACGCACACACACACACATAGCCAACCGATATATCGAATCTATTTTAAGACTCGTTCGCTCCTGGGCAAATTAGGTCAAAATTTTTCTTATGCAGGTTTTTTTATTTTTATTTTTAAAAATAGGTACCGATCGGAGTTCATGGTACGACGAATGCGTTTTCCTTCCTCTTCCTCCTCCTTCTCTTCTTCTTCTCGGTTCTGTCTGACGTGCGTAAAAACAACGAACGCAATGCGGATTTTTCATTTTTTTTATTCTTCGTTTGAATCGTTAGAAAGGGGGAAGACCCGGTTTTTTAAATGCGGGAATTACGAACGTGCGTATTACGCACGTGTACAGGTTCTCATTTTTTTTACGCAAGATTTTTATTTCCACCCGAAAACTTTTACGTGACGTTGACAAATAATAATAATAATAATAAATGTTATTACAACGTGAAATTATGTCATGTGAGAAAAAAAAAAATTTTCCATTATGAAAATTTAAATATGGCGGATAATTTTTAGTCGGAGGATTGATTGATTTTACGGAGATAATTCATTGAGTAATTTTCTTTGATAACGAATTTTTAGATGGGAAAATTTTAGATTAGTGATAATGATTTGAGGGGAAGGGAGGGGAGGGGGGAAGTGTGGAAAGGATTAACTCGACTTTTAAATTATTGACGTAATGGAAAAAAAATTTTTTTTCTTTTATTTTTATTAAAAACAAATCAATTGAAAATAAACTCTCCCTTTCTCTCTATCTCTCCCTTTTTTTGATAAAAAGAGAGAGTAAAAAAAATAATTTGATTGACGTTTATTTATTTCCTTTGTGTAAATATAATCAAATGTTTTTTGGGCGTTAATGTGATACCAGGTTCACCCTCGAAATCCTCATAATAATCAAGAGATAAATGAAAATTATTCAATATGGCACCGGCAAAAAGAAAAAGTAACATTTTAGCATATTCTTCTCCCAAACACATTCTTTTACCTACAAAAAAGAGTTGAAAGACTTGAAAGGTCGACGGAAAAAAAAAGAAAAATATCAGAGCGGAAATGCCTGAACAGAAAGTTATTATATCACCCGTACCGGTCTGAAAGGGTATGAATGCTTCTGGTTTTTTATATTTTCCATCATCGTCCAGAAACCGGGTTGGATCAAAAACATTTGGCTCGTTATAATACGATGAATTCATGTGAATGGCCCACTGAAGAGGTATAATCATGGTACCCTTAGGTATGTGGTATCCGTCCAATACAGCGTCCTAAAAAAAAAAAAAAAAAATTTTTTTTAATTTAATTATTATTATTATTTGTGCAACATGGCGTAATGATTAGTTTTTTTTTTTTTTTTTTTTTCTGTTCTACCACCACCTCCAATGAACCGTGTGGTATTCCCAAAGGTGTGACAGACCGGATTCTTTGACATTCTGATATGCATGCTTGAAAGTATGGAAGGGATGAAATATCATCGAGAGTTATGACGGTTTTCACGTCGCCTAAAACTTCATCTATTTCATTTTGAATGTTTTTCTAAAATGTATAAAAAAAAAAAAAAAGGTTAGATACACTTTTTCAACCCCTTTCAACTCCCCCCTTCCATCCCCTCCCCTCACCTGTATTTTGTCGTCGTGTGCAACGTAAAATAAAAACCATCTCAAAGTCGTTATCGTAGTGTCGACACCAGCTCCCCATAAATCAGCCATTAAATAATTAAATTGATAATTTGTGTAAAAACTTTTTTCATTTTTCCTTTTTTCCATTTCCCAATGGAAAGCTCCTAAAAAATGATCAATTTCCGGTTCGATATTATCATCATCCATAGATTTTTCATTTTTTTTATATTCTTGTAATATTTTTTGATATATATCATGACTGTATTCGATTCCAGTTTTTAAATATTTTATTACTTTTTTATATTTTGGAAGAAATCTGGAGGAAAAAAAAATCAATGGGTCAAAGTTTTACGTCACGTTTTTCCAGGAAAAAGAAAATTTTTTTTTGGAAAAACAAACCTTAGAAAGGGTAAAAAATTTATCGGTCCGGCAACGCCGATTAATTTCGTACCCTCTTCCTGTAGATTAATTAACTTTTTCCAAGTTTCGTCATTTTCGTTCCAGACTTTTCCAAAGACTAAATTAAAAACAACGTTGCCGAGTGTGTGCATGAGTAAATGTTCAACGTTTAACGGTTTCCCTTCGCGGGTTTTTATTTTTTTTATCAATTCCTCGACTCCGCATCTTATCCCTTCTTCCATTTTATCCCGTTTTTTCGTTGCGAATTTAACCATACCGAAATTTCGTAAATTATTAACGACAAATTTCCTTTGCTCTTTCCATTTTTCACCTTGAACGCATATTATTCCTAAAAATTATTATTATTATTAAAACATCCGCCGTCATCGCCACCACCGACACAACCACCACAATACTCTTCCTTTGATTAATTTCTCCTGTTTTTTGGAACAAACATTTCGCCCACGTGTAAAATAGACTCAACTGTTTGTTACCTAACAAACAAAGAAACAAACATCGGAAATCGTACAAAATTTTAATTTATCATTCTCGTACGTTACATTATTATTATCATCATCATCATTTTTTCCTCGTCGTCATTCGTTACTTTTAAATTTATTTATTATTATTATTATTATTATTATTTAACCCGAAAATAATTAAACGTTAAGAAACAAATTGAATTTTTAAACTAGGATTGTACACGAATGCTGTTCAGCGGAAAAAGGAAAAATTTCTCCAGCGTTTTCCAGCATATAGATAATAAGCGCGAAAAGATTTTATAACGTTTTTCGTTTGCCTCGATTTCGAATATAATAATTATTATTATTTTTATGAATTATCGATTAAAAAAAAAAAAAGTTCTTCGAGCAATGTCGAAATGAAGTAAACGTTTCGAAGAAATCGAAAGAAAATAAAAAAATAGAAGGAAAAATGTCGTAAATAAATTAATTTACAAATTATCGACAGTTTTTTATCAAATTGCGACAAAACTAAAAAAAAAAAAAAAAAAAAAAAAAAACAAAACGTCACGATGTAAAGAAAATAGTTTTTAAATAATTCATATTAGATATATATGTACATGACTTACGTAATTAAAAAATCTACGATAAAAAATGACGTCTGCTTGTTTCTCTCTCTCTCTCTCTCTCTTTCTCACTCTCTCACTTTTTCTTACCGTAATTTCGACGTGGAAATAAAAAAAAAAAAAAATTTTTATTACTTTTTTTTACGGTTAATTAACGGCTTGGAAAGTTTTTTTTTTTTTTTCACAATAGTTTTTTTATGGAATTTGTTCGCGCGCTTTTTTTTTTCTTCTTCTCCTTTCACGGTAAACAAATTTTCGCGCCAAATTTTTTTTTCAAATTCCCGACATTTAACAAAAAAAAAAAGAAATTTATTGAGATTATGTTGTTGTTGTTGTTGTTGTTATAACGTTTCGAGTCAGGGGCAAAAAAAAATAAATATGATGAGGCAGGAAAATTAATTAATTAATTAATTTAAAAAAATTTTGTTTTTTTTTTTTATTCCCGGTTGAAAATTCCATTTTCTTTAATTTTCCAGCCGTGCCTTTAAATTATCCAGGAGCAGCACACGGGTCACGGTTAACAACATTATTTTACGTGGTTTTATTTTTAGGCCGTAAAAAACAATTTTTTTTATTTATTATTATTATTTAAATTCACGATGACAATAATTTTCTTTTTTTTTTTTTTTTAATAAATAAATAAAAACATTGACGGAAAAAATAATAATTAAAAATTTTAACTAATGACACGTCGTTGTAATAGCAATAATAATAATAATTATAATGTTTGTGTCAAAATAACAACAACAACAAATTATTATTTTTTATTTGCGCGGGAAAAATTTATCGAGGCGGCGGATTTAAAAAAAAAAAAAAAAGTTTTCTTATCCCACGTAATGTTTAAAAATCTTTTATTATCATTATTATTATTATTATTATTATTATTATTATTATTATTCATTTAATTTATTTTATTTCTTTGTGTTGTGTGTTTTTGTGATTGCGTAATAATAAACGTACATAAAACGATTCAGTGATAATAATAATAATAATAAAGGTAAAAGTTATTAACGCGATTTATTTAATAAAAAATTATTATTATTACTTAATTTAATTTTCAGACAAAATTGTTATTATTATATAAACAAAAAGGCAACGAGTCGAATATGTATGTATAGTAAAACGTGGCAGAAGATTTAGTTAGAACGTTATATTTTTTTTAATAAAGGCAGATAAAAAAGAAAATTTAAATAAAAGGAGGTCAAATAAATTTTTGTTTTTTTTTTTTTTGCAAATTTTTTTTTTTTTTTTTTTTTAATATTAGTGACACTCAAAGTAGATGACACAGAAAACCGTAATAATTTGATTATTCAAGCGATATGAAAGTATTTGTGCAAAAAATAATAATAATAATAATGATAATAATAATTTAAAAATGAAAACAAACATCATGGAAAAAAAAAAAAAAAAAAATAATAATAATAATGGAACATTCGAAAAAATACTGGCGTTTAATGTTTATTTTATTTTATTATCTTTCTCCAGTCATCCGCCAAAAAAAAAAAATAATAATAAAATTTTAAAATTTTTAATTTAATATCCGCACTCGCTAACATATACACGATAATAATAATGATGATTATAATAATAATAATAAATCATAAACAGTGGGAGTTAGTTGTAAAAAAAAAAAAAAAAAAAAGTATGTTGTAATAAAACGATTTCAATAAATCATTGTGTTTATAATAAGAATAGGTTGTCCTCATTCAATCACGGATACCTAAATTTTTTTTTGAACCTAACACAGGAGTCAAAAGAACAACAACAACAACTACAAAAACTTCTTCAACAGTTTACGACGCAACAAACAACTCACACACATAGAAATTAGTAAACAAACATCAACAGCGGCCTACTATTGGTCTATTTTATTGTTTTTTTTATTACGCTCTAATTAAAATAAAATAAAAATTGAAAAACCACCAAACGTATAAGGGGTTAAAGTTCACAAACCCCAAAAAAAACCCCACCCCGAATTAAGGGTTGCTTAATCATCATTATTAAAAAATAAAGGGGGTCACGTAAATTTTTATTTTTTTAATACGAGTGACAGTCAAATGAGATGACACAGTAAACTAATTTGATTATTTAAACGTTCTTTCATCACATTTAAAAAAAAAAAAAAAAAAACAATAAACAAACGAACCTGAAACTTTAACAAGAGAGAAAGAAAGAAAGAGAGAGAGAGAGAGAGACAGAACAGGGTCAATTACACCGCGGCGTATACAATTCCTCGCGTTTTACGTTAATTAAAAAAAAAAAAAAAGTAAAAAAAAATTAACCATCCCATGGCATTAAATCATCAATTCGACGTAGTATTTATTTACATACGCAACACGCACGCACTCACGCACTCACGCACGCACGCGCACACACCCAAAACATTATTATCGATAATTACATTTAAATAATATTTATTTACTATTACTATTACTACGCATTGTTTTTACGTCAATATTATTATAAAACAAACGCCCACATGACTCTTTTATTTATTTATTAATTTATTCTTAAATAAATTATTAATATTTTTTTTTAAATAAATAAATAAATAAATAATAATAATTTGATTTATTACCAGTATAAAAAAAAAAAAAAACGTTTTATTAAACATAATATTATTTTTTTATTTATTTAGATTTGTCGGTTAATAAAATCCTTTATTTTAATTGAAAGTATTATTATTATTATTATTATTATTATTATTATCTCAATGAGACTTTCATCTTAATGAAGCTGATATTTTTTTTTAAAATAAAGAAACGGTTACGGTTAAAGTGTGTCACTTTATGTACATAAATATACAGATCAAATAAATGTGTACATGCATGTAACGACCACGCGTATGCACTCACGCACTCACGCACTCACTCACGCACTCACTTAATAGTTAATAAAAAGAAAAAAAATTATCGTGAAAGTGAATGCATTTTCGTTTTTTTTTTTTTTTTTTTTTCATAAAACGAATGATGATGAAAGCAAAGAAATACACGCGGCTTTGTTATTGTAAAAACCAAATTATTATTATTATTATTATTATTAGTTCGATGGGGGGAAAGAAGGAAGGAAGAAAGGAAGAAGAAGGTAAAATCGAATTTAACCTTCGTTATATAAAAAACAATTTAAACGTAAATAAAATTATTGTGCGCAATTAAATTATATACGATGTGATATGATAAATAAATAAATAAATTTTATTGACGCAAAACGTCGGGTTCGAACGCACGCGCACGAGTATACACGAGACGAACAAACAACAAACGCGAAGAAGAAAGACGAAAAAAAAAAAAAAAAACCTTGATTATGTTTGTGGAAAAAAAAAAAAACAAAAACATAATTTTTTTCCTCTTCCAAGGTGTAAAAAAAAAATAAACGTTTTTTTTTTTTTTTTTTATTTGAAAAGGTACAACATTAACGCAATTTTTTCACGCCACGTTCGATTCCCCCCTCCCCCTCCCCCAAAACAATTTATTCTATTCCCACGTTTACAAATTGGAGGGAAAAAAAACGTAACGTTACCGACGGGAACATGTTGTTAAGCAAACTCTTTGGCAAACAAACATTTTCGTTTTCTTCTTTACTCCTCCTTCTCCTCCTTCTTTCCCGCCCTTTCCACCACCACCCCCCCCCCGGTGGAAAACTTGAAGTCTCGAGAATTCTAACGGGAAATCACATACCTCAAGCTAAACAAAAAAAAGGTTCTATGCTAAAATTAAATATAAAATAAAAAATGTTTTTTTTTGTTTTAAATAAACCGAACACAACACGATTATGTTTTACAACATTTTTAAAAATATTTGATATTAATAATCGGCTTTTTTTTTATTATCGAAAAGGCACCATTTTTAATTATATATACACGTCCTCTCACGTTTTGTATTATTATTAATTTCTCCTCCTCTCTCCTCCCCCTTCTTCTCCCCCTCAATTCCCTGCATTTCAAAACATTTGATAATATTGATAACTTAATCAATATAAATAAAATTTAAAATTAAAAAAAAAAAATCATAATTATATTTTTATTTATTTTTTCGTGTTTAAGTCCAGGCCATTTGTACGTAGTCTTAAATACAACCGAATAATAATAATAATAATAATGATAATGTTTTTTAAGCGGTGACTGTCAAATTTCATGGACAACAAGTTCTCGCATTCATTTTCTTGGCAAATGAGAATGTCCGTAAGTCGTTGAACGCCCGTCAACGCCGAGAATAAGATGATTAAAAAAAAAAAAAAAACAATTTTTTTTTTGAATTGTTACTTATGTAATAATAATAATAATAATGATGATGATGATGATGAGATATTTAATCGATCCATCGATCGATCCATCGATCGATCGATCGATCGGATCGATTACACAACCGACACTTTAGTAGTAGTGGAAAATAATTTTTTTTTTTTAACTTTTTCATTCAAATAATATTTTAATTTATTAAATGAAAAAATTTTTTTAATATTAATTATAGCAGAAGAAATAATAATGATGATAATGATGATGATAATAATGATAATGATGATAATAATAATAATGTTTAAGAGCAGTGAGTAAAATTTAAAAAAAAAAAAAAATGAAAATAGATTGACAAGAGTGATGAAAAAAAAAGTTTTTTTTTGTTGTTTACTTAAAATTGTCGTGGCATTAGAAGAATATATTGATTATGTAATTTACACTTCGATAATATTTATTATATTCGTGTGCGAGTGTAAACAAAAATTTAATTTCTTTTTTCTTTTCCCGCCATTTTTTTTTATTTTGTGTTCTTTAATTTACCGGAAGTTAAACAAAAATTTTTTTATTTTTTGTTTATTTTTTTTATTTACGTATCCGAACCTTTTTTTGTTATTTTTTTTTTAACGAAAAAATAATAATAATAATAATAATAATATTTTAAGGGTTTTCGAATTTCATTTTGTTTTTAAATTTTATCTTTATAATAATTATTATCAAACAACAACAAAGAAGAAAAAAGAAAAGAAAAGAAAAGAAGAAAAAATTTAAATAACGACATAACGCAAGTTTTTCATTTTTTTTTTTTTTCACTTTTTTGTAGGGGGAGGGGTTTTCTCAAATTTCTTTTAAATTAACGTGACTCCCTTTTTAATTTTTTTTTTTAAATTATAAATAATAAATGATAATACTAATTAATTAAATTTTTAATTTAAATATTTAAAAAAAAAATTTTTTAAATAAAAAAAATAATTAAAAGATGATGAAAAACAAAAAAAAAATAAAATGAAATTTAATAATTTTCCCCAATTATTATTATTATTATTTTACAAAAGGATTAACGATTTAAAATCTTCGTTTTTACCCCCACTTTTATCATTATTATTATTAATAATATATACATTTTTTTACAACGTAACAAAAAAAGAAAAAAAAAAAGATGGGACCGCAGTAAATGTTTGAAGGACGTTTATTATTTATTATTATTATTATTTATTTTTAATATAAATAAATTAATAAACGTGTGGATGCGACCTCAAAAGTTCAATCATCCGGAGATTGGCCCTAATTTGTGACTGGAAAACTGGCTGCTATTATTATTATTATTATTTTTCCAATGTTTACCGTTTTTTTTTTTTTTTTCTTTTTCTTCTTCTTCTTCTCGGTGTTAACGAAGGACTTGTTTTATATAAAAAGCCTTCGTGTAACCGTAAAGAACTCACAACTTTTCAGGTTTTTTCGTTCTTTAACAGGATTTAAATAGTAACTAACATTTACCGTTTACAAAAAAATATTTTTAGGGACTTGATTAATAATAATAATAATCCGGAAATCGAATATAGAAAAAATAATAATAATGATAATATTAAAACCGCGAGCGCGCGCGCGCGCAAAAAAACAAAATTTTCGTAGATTACCTTCGGATAACCTGTTAAAATTTAAATTTATTATTTATAATTCAGTCGACAAAATATTTCAGTCTGCCTGGATTATCATTGATGATGATAATGATAATGATGATGATGATTCCCTTTTTTTTTCTGTTACTTTTTTTTTTCCTTGTAAATTTTTTTTAAGAAAATCAAAGTATAAAAAACAAAACCAAGGTCGCCTGGATTGCGTCTATATAGCCCACACCCAAAAACAGAAATTTTTTTTTTTTTTTTTTTTTTTTTTGTAATTTGTCAGAAATTTGTAAATTTTCCTTTTTCCTTTAAAGTTCAAGGCTCCCCCCTCTTCCCTACCCGAAAAACAAAAAAAAAAAAGCTTTACCCATTTTTTTAATTTTTTTTTTTTTTTTTTTTGCAAAAAACTTTAACTGATTAGTATTATACCTGTTATTAAAATAATAATAATTTTTTAATTTTGTTTGTGCAAAAACGATTTTAAAACCGAAAAAAAAAAAAAAATTTTTTTTTGTTTTTCTTCTTAAGTTAACAAATAATATAAAATGTAAACAAAAAGAAAAATATCACACCATCAGCAACAATAACAAACGAATAGTTAAAAAAAAAATTTCATAAATTACAACAATACTCAACGCTAATGTAATAAATACTTCAAATACCTCCAGGTACAACCGACCACCCACCTTAATAGTAAAAACAAACGCAAAGAAAAAACAAAAACCAACAACAACAACAACACGACAAGAACGTTTCGATAAAATTTATTTCAGCAAAAAAATTTCATTTGACCGTTTAAAAAAAAATTCAAAATTTTTATTTGACATTTTCCATTGGGAAAACTTTAAAACATCAAAACAAAAAAAACCGACAAGAAACTGATAACTAACTGGAAAATAAAACCACAATGGACAACATAATTCTCAAAATTCAAACATTAAAAAAAAAATTGCAAAATTATTATTATTATTATTATTATTAAATTACTGTTGTAGTCGGTTGTTAAAAACCACACCTTAAGCTCATTTGTAAAACAAACAAGAAACATCATCATTATCATTATCATCAAAGTGTTGTTTTGTTGTTTTACACGTTGTTGAATGACTCAAACCAAAGGTTGATCAAGTGTAAAAAAAAAAAAAAAAAATACTCGAATCCACTCTTCCATTGAATAAAAAAAAAAAAAAAAGCTTCAAGGGAAATAATATTAGGGTAGGTCAATATCGTAAAAGAAAATTAAAGGTTTCAAAACTAGATTAACCTAAATTTTGCAATAATCAAATTTAATTTTATTTTTTGAGGGAAAATTTAAAAAAAAAAAAAAAAAAAAAAGAAACTCGATATCTTCACTTTTATTATACGTAAACACAGACGCGAGCAAGCGAGCCAGAGTCCGCGCGCGCGCGCTCGCGGATAGCAGAATATAAAATAAATTTAAGAAGGCTGTGGAATTTTTGTGACGTCATTTAATTTGAAAATTCAAATGAAAACGTAAACGACAAAGACAAAACTCGATGAATTTTTTTTTTCTTTTTTCCTTTCGTTAATTTTTTCTTTTCGTTAATTATTTAAATTTTAAAATAATAATTATTTATTTTGTTATTAATTTAATTTCTTTTCGTCTCCATTAAATTAAAAAAAAAAAATATTCGAAATCGATTTTTATGACGTTATCGAAAAAATAATTAACGTTTTTTTTTTTTTTTTTGGTAAATGGCGGATGAATTTTATAAAAATTACCGAATGAGTCTCAGTTTTTTTTCTTTTTTTTTTCTCTTATTATAAGAGAAGGGGAGAGAGAGAGAGAGAGAGAGAGAAAGGTGGTAAAATTATATATAAATTATTTTTAATTTTTTTTTTTTTTGTGTGCGTGCGTGTGTGTGTGTGTGTGTGTGTGTGTGTGTGAATGTGTCACGTGTGAGAAATTTCTTCTCTTTCTTTTCTTCTACGAAAGTTGAACAACTTTGTTTGAGAGTATTATTATTATTATTATTTAATAGTAATTTCCAACTTTCTCGATGTTCCATTGGCACATTACCACCGGCACTCTCGAGATCTTTCAAGGTCAACCGAGTCAAGGCCGCGAGGACAATGATCTAATGCTTGGAGAAATCTATCATGACCTATCTTAACTCAATCGCGTTCCGTTCTAATTTTTTGCAAAAGAATAAAAAATAATAATAATAATAATAATAAATTTTTCCTTTCATTATTAAATTTTAATTTTTTTTGTCCTTTTCGTTTTTAAATTTGCCTCAAAGCTAAAAAATGAACGTTATAAAAAAAATTTTTTTTAAATTGGTTTTTTTTTGCTTTTCTACAAAGGGGTTGTCAATAAGTTTTAACTTTTTTGTTAAATTATTAATTATTTAAAAGAAAATTCATCCCAATATCGATACGCATTAACAAAGACAATCATCCGACAACAGAAACCCCGAACAACAACAACAACAACAACCATAACAACAATCAAATAAATAATGACAAACGTATATAAATATTTAAAATAAATAATTAAATGTTTACCATTATCTTTCATTATACCATGTGTTAGATAAAGAGGTGCTCTTCCGGTAAAAATATCCATGGCAAGTGCCTGACGTACGAGTTTCACATCAGACAAAACAACTGAAAAAAAAAAAAAATTAAAATTAATATGATAACTCGAATTTTTTTTGCGCACAAAAACTTTGCATAAATGAATTTCATCGAAGCCATTGACTTATTGATGAATATAACAAAAACAACAACAACAACAACAACATCATCATCAACAACAACAACAAAAACAAGGAATAGTTTTGGTTGCCGACACTTTCAACCTTGAATAGGCCAAAGCCCAGGCCCATAATATTAAGGTAGTTAACTTTTCTATATACACACACACACACACATATATTTTTTTTAAACGCAAATTATTATTATTATTATTATCACATTAATTTTTTTTTTATTACCTGTGAATATATTACCCATTTGTATGCTGTATATTTTACCATATTTTTCCGATAGTTTCGTTAACGTGTAGTGAGGATTTTTAGCATCAATAAATGGTAAATATCCGACTATGGGTAAACCGTATGGACCTGGTGGTAATTTTTTCATTAATTTTCCGATTTTCCGCGTCAAATAATAACCGATGAGGCCGATGAGTAAACCGACGAGTCCTTCTATCACTTGCATATCTATAAAAAATGATAATAATAATTAAAATAAATTTTTATTTTTCGCGCGCAAAGGTATCTTCGCACGCACGCACGCACAGTTTAGGGTGTGGCATTTATTAATATTATTATTATTATTGTGAAATTTAAATGCACGTGGATAAATCAATAGGGTCGATAATTATAATAAAAAAACAATGATGAGTGTGTGTGTGTGTGTCGGTTGTAAATTGAATCGAAATTGCGCAAAAACCGGTTTTTTTTAAAGGGTTTTCACATCGGTATCAATATAATGACACTAAGTGAAAAAATATATATTATTGACGCAATTGTGCGTGCGTGAGTGCGTGAGTGCGTGAGAGAGTAGACGGTTGTTTCCAGGATTGTGTAAATTATTTATTTACCGGCGGTTTTTATTAAAAACTTATTTGATTGATAAAAGTTAATAATGTTATTAATATTAGTCTCATCCATATAAAAAAAAAAAAATTCTCTCTATGAAATAATAATAATAATAATAATATTGACTAAGTTTAAATAAAGGTCACATTTCACTTTCGCTCAATAATAATAATAATAATCAATTATTATTATTATTAATAATGTCAATACTCTCGTTTGTTTATTTAGGAATGTCCTATATATTAATAATAATAATAATAATAATAACATTTCAAAACAGAAAAAAAAATTTTTTTTTTTTTTTTTGGTGGGTAGATTTACGTAAATTAAAAAAACGTTTTTCTCGCCCACATTCTTCTTCGTTTCTCTCACTCGTTGTCTTTTGATACACGCGCACGCGTGCACACACGCACTTACACACACATATGAGACACGTAATAGGCGCCATTATGATATTTTTTTTTATTATTAAAAAAAAAAAATCATTCGGGCAAACGCACTCACACTCACAAACACACGCGCGCGTTTATTATTATCATTATTAATTTTATTTATTTATTGACTTAACATGTGAGTTTTTTTTTTTTTTTTTGAAAGTTAAAAAGAAAAACCGTATATTATTATTATTATTATTATTGTTACACCTTATTTTAAGTTCATTCACTTTTTGATTGCATCAATTCATAAGTAAATATATGAGCACCACCTCTCTTCAGGTGTCACGGTGGGGTGAAAGTAAATTTAAAAAATTTTTTAGTCTTTTTGTACGCGAGAGAGAGAGAGAGAGAGAGAGAGAGAGAGAGAGAGAGAAATCATCAGTCGTCAATCGTTATCATATTTAAATGACAGTTAATGATAAAGATTTTGCAACATGATTTACTCTACCAAAGATCGTTATTGATTGTCGTCATCGTCATCGCATTCACAGGTTATTTAAATAAATTAATAAATAAATAAATAATAATAATTAAAGATGAAATGAAAAAAAAATATTTTTTTTCATTTCCATTAATATTATTATTATTATTATTAAAAAGATATTAACGGTGAAAAATAATGAGAGCCTAATCGAAATGACCAGAAATGACCCTAGTGCGCGTGGCTGATATAGACCCGACGATAGTGAAAGTATGTCCAGTCTGGTCTACCGCGTGTCTGCTCAGGGTCATTGAACTCAATATTTTCCTTCAATAGTTCATAGTTGGTTCTTATCCTCCATTTTTTCAAGTTCTTTTTTACTTAATTATTTATTTATTTATTGTTTAATAATTTTATTTATTTATTTATTGTTTAATAATTTTATTTATTTATTTATTTATTTACCCTCCCCGTTTCCCCTCCCCTTTCCCCAATTTGAAAATGATCCAGTTAAATAAAATAAAAAAATTTTCTTCCCTACGCCGCCATTTTTATTTATCATTTTTATTTATTAATCGAACCGAATGATAATTTTAAAAAAAAAAAAAAAATTTTCTATTGTTAACCTCGTCGGCCATTGAAAAGGGAGTAGTAATAATAATAATAATAATAATTTGTTTAAAACAAATAAATTTCAAACGAGTTAAAAACCATTAGCAACACATTTTCGTCGATTGTTTTTTTTTTTTTTTTTTTTTTTTTTTTGCGGTTCACATGTTTTTGTAAATTACGACCGCAAATCGTAAATAATAATAATAATAATAATATTGGCAAACTAAGTTGACGGAATGAATTAAAAAAAATTTAGATTTTGGCGAATGTCAAACGGTTCATGAAAGTTGTAAAAAAATGTTAAAATACGTTAAAAAGTAGGTACAAAATGAAAGGACGGTGTTAAATAAGTGGTTAAAAAAAAAATTTTTTTTTTTTTTTTTTTTAAAGAAGAGAGAAAATTATTAAGATAGTGGTGAGATTTCTTTCTTTCTTTCTTCCCCCTCACACTCTCTCTCTCTCTCTCTCTAACTCACTCACTCACACGGTTCAAAGAACTTTTTTTTTTAATTGTAAACAAGGCCAAGACTATGATGGCAAAAAAAAAAAAAACGTGGAAATAGAAAATTCCATAGATTAATAAAATATTTATTTGATATAATAATAATAATAATTCTCATTAGTGTTAAAGTAAAATGAAAATTTTAATTCCGGTTTACTTTAATGGAAAGTTTATAATAAAAATTACAAATATCATCTAAATGCGATAATGGCATTTAATAGTGAAAGAGAGAGAGAGAGAGAGAGTACATACGATGGAAAAAAAAAAACATCTTGGAATCATGACCCAAAGATCCGATAATACATGTATAAAAGTACGAAGATGAGGAGGATGTAAGTACAAATAACTGATTTTTTTTTTTATATAGAAAACTATAACAGAGAATCCGCTTCTTGAAACATCATTAAGGTCGAAATCGAGGCTATTGTTTATACCAGAACCCGTCATTTTCGGTGAGAGTTGACCCAATCCTCTATTGCACCACTTTTTTTTTGGACGGTAGTCTAATTTCAAATTTGATTCTTCATAATCATTATCATCATCATCATCGTAATAATTTTCATATGTTATTAATCTTAATTTTTCTCTTCTCTCTCTCTCTCCCCCTCTACTCTTCCTTATAAATAATCCTTTCGATAATGATGATGACCATTTCCCTCAACATCATCTTTAAATTCTTCCTTTTTTGAACAATGTAAACGCCATTAAGTTTAAAATTTCACACATTGACAAATATGTCGTTGAATAGTCAATATATTTAAAAAGTCGATTCGATAAAAAAGTTTTTGTACCACTACTACTCCTACTACTACCTGTTGAATTATTCCTAATAAAGGTCCAACCAAAACGTTCGCATACTTCAAATTCTTTATATATGTGTATCCCTTCTAAATAATTATTACAAATATTTGTAATACTTATCTGTAGTTGTAGGTTATTGATTTTTTTTTTTTTTTGAATATTGATTACCGTTTTAGTTACTGTTAATAAAGTGTAAAAAAAAGTTAAAGTATACGTGTGCGCGGTTAATAAATCGAAAGGATCATGCAATTCATTGGATTTTAATTAGTATGAGTTTGGTCTTTCCTTGTTTTCACACTTTTTATAATAATAGTGTTTTGTTGACGGCAAAAAAGAAGAAAAGTGGTTCGCCTTCGTTATGTTAGAACGTACAGGAGGAGGAGGAGTGAGGGGGAGTAGGGGGGGGGAGGGTGGGAGAGGGGAAAAAAAAAGAAAAAAAAGCCGCTATTGCCGGTATATGAAATCACCCTTGTAAAAAAAAAAAAAAAAAAATGCAGGGCATTAAGTCACGGGAGAATGAACATTTCAATATGTTTGTTTGTTTGTTTGTTTGTTAATTGATTTTTGAAAGTTGAAACTCTTAGTTTAAATGCCGGAAGAAGTTGTCATGTTTTTCTGTAAAAGATTGAGAGTGGACTTGTGGAATCGGATTGATAAAATCCAAATGTAATTCAATGACCAACAACAACAACAACTACCGCTACTACCACTACTACTACCACCATTCCAGAACGACACACAACCGAATTTTAAAAAAGCTTACTTCATAGAGTGTTGCATAATAGAAAAATATACATTTTGAGGGTGCAATGAACTGTAAAAAAAAAAAAAAAAAAAAAGATTATCGGGCTAGTAAAACAGAATTGAATTCAACTAACCAATGGGCTACCTGGTAGGCTGGCCCAAGCCGTCAAGGGTCAACCAGGGTAGTGCCTTGCCAGGCTAATGAACTTGATTTTTAAATAGAAAGATCTGTTCATTGATCTTCCACACGTGAAACAAATCCACCATGTCAAAACAAAAAAAAAAATTCTGGATTCCACTCGTTGCTTTTTCTCTCTCTCTCTCTCTTTCTCTCCTTCTATCTCATTTTTATTTTATTTCCCTATCGAAATATATATAGGGCGAAACGATTATTAGTTCCATATTTTCATCGGTAAAAATTTCAAACAGGAGAAGAAGAAGAAGAACGACAACCAACAAACAAACGACCATCATGACTATCATATATACGCGTTTATAAATACGTATAAAAAAAAAAAAAATGAATAGAGAGAATTATTATAAACGATGAGAGAATAACTAAAAGATGTAGAAAGAGAGAGAGAGAGAGAGATCGAACATGAAGTTGAATTTTATGCAAGATGAATCCCCTCCGCCATCCTCTGCAAGGCCGTTCAGAGTGAGATCATTGACTCAACTTTATCTGATTTTTTCAAGGCATTCCAGACAAATTTCCTTTAGGTCGGTGATCCTATAGGAAAACGGCAAACAATCACTTTTTCTCCTTCATTTATACTTATACTTGTATTTTTTTCTTTTCGAATTTAATTTATAGTAAAAAAAAAAACGATGACATATTTTTTGTTGTTACTGTAAACGTAAAAAAAATTTAAATTATAAAATGGACGAGGAGGGGGGGGCCCCCATCCGGTTAGATCCGAAGTACGTTTGATTGTGCCACCAACAAAATAATTCCGTTGTGTTTACCAAAAAAAAAATAAAATAAAAACAATAATCAAATCGATCCCATCATGCCCCAAAGTTATCAAAATTTCCGTTATTTTTTTATAACTGTTACTTAAAGCTTGTAAACAAACGTTCCAAAAAAAAAAAAAAAAAAA